CATCCACCAACCTTTTTTGCCCTTTAACCCCTCCCATCTCTCCCCCCTCAGAGCCTCATCTTCCCTCCTCTTCACCTCTCAGACCCGCTTCTCACCGCTCCCCCTTGCTCTCTCCCCCCTCTTCAACCCCCTCACCTCCCCACTTTCCTCCACCCCACCTCAATCTACACATTGGCCTCTCTTTTTCGGCCCCTTCTGCTCTAGACAATCCCTCCAACCCTTCGCCAGTGGCCCCGCGTTCTTCATCCTTCACCTCAGGGCACCATTTGGCATTGTAGAGCTATCACCACAACCCCCCCCCCTCCCTTTTCTCCAACCCCATCCACCCCTCTGGGCTGGGTATCCTTTCACATACCCCATTGTGCCAGCTAATCTCCTCCCCTTATAAACAATCACCATTCAACTCATCAAGATACCACCGCTCCTCCCTCAATTGAGGATTCCTCGCAATCTCAGTCGATAGCCTCAGTTGACTCCAACTTTGTCGAAGCTATGGACTTCGCTCAAGGTAATACTAAGGAGGTGCTTCAAGTGATGGATCTCAAGTTCGATGGGCTTAAAGAGGCTCTAGAAGTATTAATTAAGGTTGATGCCCATCTCAGGGCCACATAGAAGGCCAAAGCTAAAGCTCAAGGTAAGGCTCCTGCAACCACTCACAAGGGACAGCACGAGCTGACCAATCTTCACTTCGGAGTCTCGTATGCCAAAGGACAACCCTCCCCCTCCCCCCAGCCCATGGCTTCACAGCCTACAAGACGCTCGTCGAGGGGAGCCCCCACACATCCCCCCTCTGCATTCCTCATGAGGATTTTGACATGAAATGTTTGGGGCAACCCGAACAAGCAAAGTTCAATTCGCGACTTCATCGCTAGATTTTCCTCTTCCCTCCCTGGGATGGTGGAAACTAAATTTCCCTCTCCCTCCCTTTCCCACATTCGACAAACTTGGGGCCTTAGACTTTGCCAATGGGTGGCTCTTGAACCCCAAGGAGCTTCGGGTGGCATTTGGGTCCTTTGGGACCCAACCACCCATACCCTTGTCGATCACCACATAGGGCAATTTTCTGTTACTGTTACGCTTACTAGAATTGCTGATGGCCTTCTATGGAAGACCATAGTGGTGCATGGACCCAACTTGGACTCAGCCAGAGATGCCTTCTAGGGTGAACTTCAACAATACTCGTCCTCAACCCTTCCCACTTGGGGCTTGGGACGTGATTTCAATGTAACTAGATGATCTCATGAGAGAAACTCCAATGATAGGATTACCCTTGCCATGATCCACTTCTCGAACTTTATATCCCAAAACCGCCTTCTCGATATCCCCCTGGAGGGAGCGGAATCTACCTGGTCCAATCACTCCCCAAACCCCACTTTATCCAAGCTGGGCAGGTTCGTCACCTCCCTTGAATGGGACAATCTCTTCCTTAGAACCCATTCCTCCTTCCACCCCATGCCTACTTCAGACGACCGTCCTATTTTACTCAACACTCAAGCTGTCCAAAGGGGACCAAAACCTTTCGATTTGAAATCGCTTGGTTCGAAGGGGCCGACTTCTCAGCTCTAGATCGTTCGAAATGGGATTCCTTTGCCACCCAAGCTCATGGATGGGCCGCCTTTAAGCTACAGATGTAACTACGTCTCCTAAAGACTCCCTAAGGTCGTGGAGTGCCCAATTCCCCGGCAACTTTCGAACTCAAAAGAACCGTTGCTTCAATCCATTCAATTATGGGACTCCATCGAAGAAAATTGAACCCTTTGTCCCTCCAGAATGGAGCTAAAGTTGACTTTAGTCTTCTCCTCAAGAAGGAGGAAATTTACTGGGCCCAAAGTCCAAGGTCAAGTGGCTCAAGTATGGGAATCTCAACACTGCTTACTTCCATAAGGTTGCCAACTGCCGGAGAAGAAAATACTCCATTACCCATCTCAAGGTTGGTGGTTGAATTCTCGACCATCCTCACCATTATGAGCAGCCAGCTATCGACTTTTTCTCACAGCTCTTCTCCACTCCCTAGGGTCCTAGAGCTTATATGGATGACCTCTCCTTTCCTTCCCTTCCCCTTGAAATAGCAGCCTCTCTTGAATGACCTTTCATTGAGGAGGAAGTCCTAGGGGCTATCAAAGACCTGAGCTCTAACCAGGCCCTGGGCTCCAGGACCCAAAGGGGATCCCAATGGCCCTCTTTAAGGCATTTTGGGACACTTTCAAGCCAAACATCATGGCTTTCTTCGAGGAATTTCACTGTTGGGGAATCATCCACCGAGCGATGAATTCCACCTTCATAGCCTTGGTCCCAAAGATAGAAGGAGCTAAGGAACTAAAAGACTTCAAGCCCATAAGCCTGATTAATAGTGCTCATAAAATTTTGTCACAAGTTCTAGTCTCCCACCTTAGACTAGTCTTACACTAGGTCATTTCCCCATCTCAAGGGTCATTTGTCAAGGATCGCCAAATCCTTGATGGGGTTGTTATTGCTCACAAAAGTATTAATTCACACCACTGACAGAAAACCCCAGGGCTCATTATAAAATAAAACTTGATTGGGAGAAGGCGTATGATCATGTTGATTGGAAGATTCTTGATGAAACCCTTCGTTGAACGGGCTTGAGGGCTACATGGAGAAAATGGATCCAGAGCTCTGTATCTCGAAACCTTTTTCTCTATGCTTTTCAATGGTCCCCCAAGGGGTACTTTCAGGCCTCAAGAGGCCAGCGAAAGGGTGATCCTTTGTCGCCCTTCCTCTTCGCCATAGTAGCTGACGTATTCAGTGCCTCTTTATCGAGGATATATCAAGCAAGGCTCCTTTCAGGTTTCAATATAGGAAGGTCGGGCCCTCTTGCAACCCACCTTCAATATGCAGACGATAGTTTTATCTTCTGCAATGCCTCCCATCAGCAAGTCAATAGCATGCTTCTCTTCCTCAATTGTTTTGAATTTAGCCACTGGTTTCAGAGTCAACATGGATAAATCAAAAATGATGGGTGTTGCCAGGGACTACCTCTTGGTCCACAGCCTTGCTGCCCATTAGGGGTGTGCGGTTGACAATCTCCCTTCTACTTAACTTGGGCTTCCCCTTTGCCTTAGCATGTGTAGACTTGACCTTTGGAGCCCTATAATTGATAAATTCAATAGGAGGCTTGCAGCTTGGAAAGGGAGATTCTTATCCTCAGTTGGAAGAGCGTTACTCATCAAGGCCACCCTCTCTAGTACTCTCTTTCTGATGTCTCTCTTCCTCATGCCAGCGTCAGTACTTGCAAGATTGGAAAAACTCATGAGGGACTTTTTTGGTCAGGCGAAGGTGGCCATAAATTCTACCTTATCTCCTAGGTCAAGGTGTGCCTTCCCAAGTCCTGTTAAATTTCTGAATCCTCCATAGAAATATGTGTCTCGATTAAAAAACAAGAATATACAAAGTCCCGTATACATATACGGCTAATCAGTTATTGATAATGACGAACTAATCTAGTCTTATCAAGAGAGATATCTACATTAAAAACTATCCTCAACTATCTCTATCTCCTCAACTATCTCTATCTCTACAAGTCCTGTGGTGGTCTTGCCATTCGTAGCCTAAAAGCCACCAATCTGGCCATGTTAGGCAAGTGGTGGTGGCGCTATGCCACGCAATCTAATCACCTGTGGAGAGAAGTAATCTCCCATAAATACTGCCGACAAGACCACATGTGACTACCTTCTATCAGAACTACAGGCAACATTTCATGATTTTGGAGGTCTCTCCAACATTGTCGCAGCATTTTTCTACAAGGGATCAGGTACCATCCAAGGTCGGATAATACCATCTCTTTCTGGCATGATATTTGGATTGGTGAAAGCCCTCTTAAAGAATCCTTCCCTTCTCTCTTTTGGTTTGCCCTTAATCCAATTTAACCATGGCCGACTGTTTTGCCAGCAATGGGAACAGTAGAACTTGGAATCCCAGTTTCAGACAAGCCGTCAATGATGAAGAGATAGGACATTTGTCAGATCTCTCAGCCCTGCTACATTCAGTTTTTCTTCGCTTGTATGGGGAAGATAAAATCATTTGGTCCCCTGCCACTTCGGGAGTTTTCTCAGTCTCTGCACTCTACCGAGCCATATATATAATATATTAGGGCCTAGGCCAAGATAGGGCTGGCCCACCCTAATAGGGCTAGGGCAGCCAGGGCCATGGCCTATATGGCCCTTTCAAGGTAGGACCTAGACCAGCCCTATGGGGATCAGGAACTGGCTAGAGCCAAGGCTGGCCGGGCCATACCCATTGGCAGCCCTAAGCTGAAACAAGGTAGAGTTATGTTCAGACTTCAGAGATACTTCTCTACTATATCAGCATCATGGGTTGTGGAAGCCATTATTAAACCTACAGATGTAGATCAGATATTCATTGTTTAGAGGAGCAGAAATTGTTTTAACTCCTCATAGGACTCAAGCTGGAGTTTGAACAAATTAAAGCTTCTAATACATTCCAATCTTACAGGTTGTGGAGGATGCATTCTAAAAATTATACGCAGAGCAAATCATGTTGACCTCGTAGTCTCCAGAAGTCCGGAGGTAGCAAGATAGGATGATAAAATGTTTCAACCTAGCAACAAATTACAAGGAAAACCATTGTCCTCAAATAACAATGCAATCAGATACTAGGTTATCCAAATTTTGTGCAGATAAAATCCACCAACAGTAATGCACCAACGATATCCAGGTCCTTAATATTATCTTTTTTTCTTTTATGTGAACAAGAGTCACACAGGTGTGCAAGCTAATTCACACATAAGTTAGTGTAAATTACAGAATATATTACTAATTCAAGAAGTCAGGAAAAAACAAAGTACGACTAGATGAACATTTATGAGTAAACACTTGCCGATGAGTTCAAAAAGAAATTTTCATTCCCAACATCCAGCAATGGTTTACTTCCTATTGTAATTGCACTTCCAACCAAGGCGGTTATGCGGTAACAAGACATGAAGCATCTACTAATACATAGCTTAGACAATAGGCACGTACTTCTTTTCCACTCAAATATGGAGCAGTAGAAGGTTGAGGGTGTATTTCTTGGTTATTTAAAATAGATGGATCTGCAACCTGCACATAAGAACAGTATCAGAATGACTGAACAAAACCAATGATGCTAAGGAACTGAATATGATGGATATTTCCTTATACATTATTGAAGAATTTCCATCTAAAAGACTAACCTCATAAAAAAAATCCATAAAATTCGAGTTCAGACAGAAACACATAAAGATTGGTACAAGGGGCGAGTCAGTCAACTCATCGAGGCTTTGAGTTTAAAAAGATTTATTTTGGTCTGACTCAGGCCCATAAAACCCGAGTCAAGTCCAAGATCACCTGAATCTCCATTCATAATGTCTAGAGTTGGGGACACACTAAGCTGAGTAAACCATAATTAAGTTGGAAACTTCGAAGCAAGAAAGCAAGCATATGCTGGTCCTGAATAAGTGTAGGCAAGCACACAAACACATTTGAGTGTGCATTGTATGTTATAGATAAACAAAATATTTTTACACACCCATAGGAGGAGGAAGAGAACATAAGAAAGAGTGACAGACCCCACAGAGACATACATATCAAGAAAACAAGCAAGAGAAACAACCAAGAGAGAGGGGGAGAGGGGGAGAGGGGGCGAGAGAGAGAGAAAGGAGTTACAGAACTGGCCTTGTCCTTCAGTTTTAGTGGACCTGAAACAGGATGGCTTTCCAAGTCCCAGAACCTCTGGTTCCCAATATCTTTTATGTAATTTTCTATCTCAGCTGATGACAAAGGTGATGACTGGTGCTGCTTGACATAAACAACATCTCTACCGCCAATGGCCACAGATGTAACTATGTGGGTTCCAAAGTTCTCAATGAAACTGAAACAGAAGGACAATATAACAAATAATTTCAGGATACCAATTTTTACAAATATCATTGTTCAAAAAAGCGGACTGCCCAGCGCCTAGGCGGCCGTCCCTGGGCGGCAGCCTAGGCAGTACTGAACCCACCCAGGCGGGCGCCCAGCCTTGGGTGGCTGCCCAGGGCCTGCACCCCGCCTAGGGGCTAAAATTAGTTTTTTTTTTTTAAACATAAAGGCTTTTAAGGAAAGGTTTTAGGTTCATTTAAAACTTAAACGCACAAGTACCCATTTTAGAGAAAAAGAAACCTCAAAAAAACTAAATTTTGTGATTTTGATTGGATCGAAATGTTTCTCAAAGTTACGGAAAACGAATCTAAACATCACCCAAGTAGATTAGATTTCGTTTTGGAGTTTTATAATCCTATTAGAGGGTGTTTTTTATTATTTTAGCACCAGAAAAGAGGTGGGAGTTTGGAGTTCGAGCAATCAAAGTAAGTGCAAAACTTTATTTTTTAGATGGCTTGTTTTATTTTGAGATGTCTTTTTCAGTATCTAGTCGAAGTGGAGATCCGGGTTGGAAATATAGATACAACCCAAATCGAAATGACAAAAAATGTATTAGATGCAATTATTGTGAAAAAGATACAAAATGGGGTATAAACCGGTTTAAAAAACATCTTGCCGGTATTAAGGGAGATGTCGCCCCTTGTAAAAATATTTTTGAAGCTATCAGAGAGGAGATTAAGCAATATATGAATTCTGTAAAACAAAAACAGGAACAAAATCCTTGTCATTTGAATCGATCTATTTCTGATTCTTCTAGAAGAAGTGATCCGGGTTGGAAGTATAGTTATAACACACAACTAAATGATAAAAATTGTATAAGGTATAATTTTTATGAAAAAGATACCAATGGGGTGTTAACCAATTCAAGAAACACCTTCCTGGTATTAAAGGAAATGTTGCTTCTTGTAAAAAGTTTCCTGAAGCTATTTGGGATGAGATTAAACAATTTCTTAATTTAAAAGAACCACAAAATGATGAAAATGAGCCTTGTTCTAAGGAAATATCTTCTTCAGGTTCTTCTAAAAGTGGTGATCCGGATTGGAAGTATGGTTATAACCCGAATCCAAATGACAAAAGTCGTATTAAATGTAATTATTGTGGAAAGGATACTAATGGAGACATTTACCGGTTTAAAAAACATCTTGCCGGTATTAAGGGAGGAAATTATACAATATTTGAGTTTAGAAAAACACAAAAAGATAGAAAAGGGTAGAGCAGCCAAGACTCCTAAGACTTTATCTGCACATACTAGTAAGAGGAAGGTAGAAAAAGAGGAGGAGAAAGATGCAGATTCAGAAGAAACAGAGGAGGAAGCGCGTTATATTGAAGAGGGAGATGACTTTGAAGATGATAACCTCGAATCTGATGCATATGATGAGGCTTACCTTATTCCTTCTGATGATAATGATGACCGAAGACTCTTGGTGTTGAGTATTGAGAGTTGACTGTTAAGTGTTGACTATTGTGTCCTAAACTGTATATTTTTTGAATTTCTGTATTTTCTTTTCTTATTTTAATTTCTAGTTTCTAGTTTCAAGTTCTACTATCTCACTTTTATGTATACATTCTACAGTGTATCAAACTATCAGTGTATGCTTCTTTCCTTGTATGGTTTTACTGTTTTAACATTATATGAAAATATGAACTATGGCCTTATAGATTATCAAAATTCTCTTCTCGACTTCTATCTTCTTCTTTTTCAACTGGGATTATGGTCTTATGGATTATCAAAATTCTTATGGATTATGGTCTTATGGATTATCAAAATTCTTATGGATTAATCATTATCAGACTATCTTTTCTTCTTTTTTTCAACTGGGCCACCCAGGTTCTGGGTGCCTGCCCTGGACCCTCATGGCTACCTAGGTGCTGCCTAGCGCTTTTTGAAACACTGACAAATATTTTTAAGATAAGACATTTATTTACCTTGCTAATGATGACGGTTCCCATGTTTGAGGGACCGAACTTTTGACATCTTTCCGCAAGACTAATGGCGCTTTTGCCAATCGAACCTCAAAAAGTGTGATGAAATATCCATCCATGGCAAGGGATCTTGTAGCTGCGGCATCAACTTGTCGGCAACCAGTGAAATTAAACATGGCATTGAAGCTGCCAAGAGGAATACTTCCAGGTATAGAGGCTTTCTTATTGAAGTACTCAACCATCTGAAATCATAAGAAAAAGTAAAGCTAACATAATGAGACAAAAAATTATTATCCCAGGCAAAGTAATAAGTTTAATACTTCTCTTATCATGACTCACAATATTTAGAGTCAAATACAGTGAGAGAAAGAAATCAAATAGATCCATATAAAAAATGACAAAATCATAAAGTAGATATGAACCCATCCTTATCAATTGATGCACCAGTACAGAAAATTAAGTTGAATGAAAAATCTTCAGTTGCATTGAATTAGAATCCACAGACCAACAGCCTGAGCTACTTTGCATTTAATTGCTTCGAAGTAAGCTTTCATCCTAGCAGATATCATATCTTCTCTAACACTAAATTGCTTGAAATTTCACATCCATTGTTGGTTGATTTTACATCTTTCTCTGAGGAGGTAAACTAACATCTGATTCCATAAAGTTAAGAATAGCATGAGTTGGTGATCAAACTACAGGTGTTGATATACTAGCCCCAGACTTGCAGCAAGATTGAAAGCATGGATTGTAGGGTGACACTTAAATTTCAATTTTGATCTCAAAATGCTCTACTATTGGGGGCAAACCTAAGTTTCGGATTCCAAATAAAATAGAGGTAACTTTTGGTTTTATTCATAACATAAATTTAAAGACTTCGATGACGATATTTCAGAAAATACAATACATAAATAAAGTTAATTTTCAAATGAATATAAATTTCTAAGAGGAGAATCTAATTTCAACCCATTCCAGAGGAAATTAGGGCCATGTTTCGATGATTTTGGTAAGACTTTAAACAATAACAGCTGCCATAAAGGTGTATGCGAAATGTCAATATCTCAAAGCTCAAGGACATGATATGTTAAAGATATTGCCCCAAAATGCCACAGCCAAATTGAGTTGTACATTTAGCGTTGGAAGGATAATAGAGATTTTCAAATGCTCACTTGATTTTTCAAATGTTCGTAATTGCTTTAAGGTGGAATATTTCATAATTTCAATGAATTTTTAATTCATAGGATGCCTAACCAATTGTGTAATGGCTCACCTCCTGTCCAATGATTTTCAAAACGAATATCAGGGCCTTTGTGGATTTATAGGTATTCACTTTGTAATGAGAAATCCATTTGAAGAGAATGACTTTGATGCTTCGCATTGTGTTTCTCTTAGATATGCTGACATTCAAAAAGGTTAGAATTCATATGAGCATTCCCATGTACCTCCATGTTTTACAACATTTTATGTTTGTGAAAGATTTAACAGGTAGTTTCACTAAACAGAATCATACATAATGTTATATTTGATATTAACTAAAGAGAATCATCCATAACATTGTACTCAGATCCAAATGGTCCACACTAGGAATAATTGCAAGTCCTTTGAGAACATGGATTTCTATTTCTATAAGATATTCCACGATCGAGATAATTGGTTGAATCCTGTAAAACTCTTTTATAGAAGTTCTTTGATATATTCTTTTTATAAAGCAAATCAACTTTGATTCTTGAATAATCCACATCACATCTGGTTCCATTGTAACAAAAGATTCTGTATCAATAATTATGATCTTACACTCAAGATCCAAATGGAGATTGGAGACATATAAAACAGAAATTATATGAAAAGATGAGAGAAAAATAAAGGAGAAAGGGGCAAAAGGAAAAAACTGGAGAAGTCAAGTACTAGTACATCAAGACATAAGGAGCTGAGAACCACTCCCTCCTTGGCCTATCAATCTGGAATTGTTAAAGGTGCTCCCAAATTACACCTGTCCCTCTTCTAGCTCCTTGCCGATCCACATGAGTCCTTGAGTTCTAATACTGGTATCAATGAGCACAAGTTAAGCATGTATCTTACCTTCTGATTGTGAGGTGACCAGGCATCTCAAGCGGTTACTCACATGCACCGTTAGCATGATCCACCTAATGCTTCTACAGCAATTCTAGATAGTGTTTCAACCAATCTGGAGCCTATTGCCCCATTTTAATGGTACAACAATTCCATCAAACAAAGGACTTCGTAGGAAATAAGTGAAAATCAGATTCTCATTTTCAAAAGGCCAACGGAGAGGGGGGTTGTTGGGGAATTTTCTCAATAAGCAGGAGACAGAAAGGGCCCATGCCCTTGATTGTCATAACGGGCCAAGTTGTTCCTTCTCCAGCCCCAAATGGGCAGGAGAGTACACATATATTTGTTAATAAATAGTCCAACCAAGGGGATCTATTCCAATCAGATGGAACTTGTTGTTGGAACTGAAGCCATCCAATCTCTTAGGTCACTGCTCCTCTACATTTGTGTTGCTCTGATTACTAGTTCAACACCACATAGAGCCTTTCTTGCCAGTGTTAGTCCTCCTATTGCCTCTCTCTTATTGCAAGGCATCTTATCTCCCTTCTGGGCAGAAGACCATGAATGAGGAAGCACCTTCCAAAGAAGAACAGAGCTTGGGACCTTGTTGTCCTTCCTGCAAGAAAGAGCCCATTTATGCATATGGTTGATTAAATTGGAGCACTACAAAGCCCATCTTATATTAAGGGGCTTCTAGCCCTCTAGCAACCACAAAATGTTGATTACGATTGAGACATTTGTTTAAGTGTAAGGCTTGTTTATATGTTAGGCCACCATTCTTGTTGCAAGTGTGCCATCCTCATAAACTTGATGTGAAAAAATATCATTCTTCACAAGGATCTTCAAGAAGAGGTTTACATGCAAACACCTCATAGCCTTGTTCCTTTAAGTTCCCGGTATGTGTGCCATATTAAAAATTTTGTTCATGTCGAATAATTTGAAATCACTTCATTCGAGAATAATTCGAAATCATTTTCAGGCCGCACGCATTTTCAACTCTCATCTTCTGTATCAAAAGAATAATCCTAGAACTTTGCATGTCAACTATCAAATAACAGAATTTAATGCCTTTTTTTAGATCTAATCATATGCAAACATTCCCTCCATCACAACACAACCCCAGGTTTCCTGTTTAGATCCATTTAGGACTTTGCTATCACGAGATTTTGAGGAAATAATTCACAGAATCTGAATTAGAAACAGCAACATAAATCCCTATGGAACCATTAAAGGGCCAAAAAGACATCACAGATACAGAATTTATAGAACTACAATCATACACAACAAATTTCTCCTCAATTAAGTATTTAACACATTATTTTCACAAGAGTATTTTGACAAGATAGAAAAGGCCTGTGGTTAACCAAGCCTATTAAGGGTGCCAAGCAAAATCCTCTGGGTTAAAGTGGTTTGACTAGAAATGTCTTTTTGAACAATCCAGTGTAACAGAACTCCAGAGAAAAGGGGTCTTTTTCTTTATAGCTAATAAGTTCTATAAACTAAAGGGGTGAGAGATCAACGCAAACTACTCAATTGGCAAGAAAATGCCTAAATGGACTATATATCATTTTTGACAAATGCAACAGTGCATTCACACTCATTGACTAAGAAAGTTAAAAATTTAGAGTGAGAAATCATGAATGTTTTCTCTGCCATATATCAGCAAAAAATCTGAAGGCACTATAAATCAAGATACAAGTCCAAAGATACATAAAATATAGAAACATGAAATTTACAGGACCATTACTAATCTGCCCTAAAGCATTCAAAGAATGTTTTAGATATCAATTCAGGCCAGGTACTCAGCCCTGGGCCTGGCCCAGGCCCAGCCTGAGCTACTCGGCCGACGCACACCCCAAGTGAAAAAAAAAAAACTCTTTTAGAGGTGTGGCACCACTGCCTCCCGCTGTTGCCTCAATGCTCCCCTCCTTTCTAAACACATGCTTCTCATATCCCTCTTTCTCTCTTTTCTGAGCTTAGTATCAGTGGTGAAGATGCGGGGGAGGAGAGAGAGAGAGAGAGAGAGAGAAAGAGACTACCAATCCGCCACTTTTTTGTTTACCAAATGTCATGTGAGGTTCTTGGTCATATGCCATTTATCAAAAATGGCACCAGCACTCAGGTTTTTGCAATTAAGGGTCCTAAATTTTTACCAAAACCCAATGAAATGTGTCAAAAATCAGGGTGAAATCCTCTATTTTCACCAAAATTTTAGAGCCCCTCTCCCTCTCTGACTCGTGCTCTCTCTAAGATTTTGGCCAGAAAATAGGATATTGGTTAGAACACAGAGCATAATATCGCTCAAAAGAGTGAATTTGTGACCAGAAAAAGGTTGATGGGCGAGAAAGCGTTCCTGATTCTTGCCAGAATTTGGGAACCCAACTCGTAAAGAACACTGGAAAAGGAAAGAGGGGATGGGATAGAAATTGGGAGTTAATAATCACCAGAAGAAGACTTCAATGATCAGAAGTGGTCAGAAAAGGAGAAAAGCCAACGTTCATGGATCGATCACTTTTTTTTTTTTAGATTTCTGTTTTTTCTTTTGCAACTTTTTTTTAATTTCTTTGGGGGTTTTTGGTGGGGGCGAGTTGAGTCACCACTAGAGTAAAGCCGAATTACTCGGCCGAATCCGAGCGGACTCAGCCAAGTCACGGTGCACTGCTTACAAATATTCCCCTAGAAATCAAATAAAAAATAAATAAAGAGAAAGACAAGGAAGAAAAAAAGGAACAACGGAATATGATTAAATCCATTGAACATTATTTAAAATCTAGGCATCGATGGTGATCAGCATGAACCTACCCAAAAGCCAAAGGCATACAGGAAAACAAAATTATTTCTGCAAATAATATGCCTCTTGAAAGGAACTAACCCGACAGAGATCCAAGCATCATAGAAATGTCTTGGACTTCAGATTTCAGGGTAAATTATAGAGAATAAAATCAGCTGAACATTGGTAATCCTTAATAAAGGAGAAAAAAAAGAGAGAAGATAATCAAGTAGTAGGTGACACAACAGAGAAATAGCATAGCACAGAGTGTCCAGGCATTAAACCAGCATAGAATTTGACAGAACACAACTAACCCACTAGAGCATGTAGCATCAGAAGAAGAAAAAAAAAAGATCAATCAAACTGCAAACAAAAGAGATCACAAACAAAGCACAACCACATATTCCCTTTCATGAAAAGCAACACTCAGAAAGAATGAGATTCTGTTTTGAACAAAACAACAAAAACCCAGAAATCTAAAACCCAAAAAATCGATAGAAAGCGAAAGGGAGAAACGAACCTCACGGAAGCCAAGAACTTCAGAAGTCTCACGGAAACTCTTGCCCAGCAAGCATTCGATATCGGTGGAGACATTTGGAATGAGCAAGCCTTGAGGTAGCTCTAGATCCTTTGTGTGATCCTCTTCAACATGAACCAGCCTCGAGCCTGCAACTCCTTTGCAATAGAGAAGCCTAATATCAGCGGTGACATCAAAGCCCCTGCCCAAAGCTTGGATTGAATTCACAGCTGTTGTGAAAGCAGCTGAATTCTGGTCCATATCGACAAGTCCACCATTAGGTGCGTCCTAAAGAGAGGTCGCGCTTTGGTTTTTAGAGAGTGAGAAAAATAAAAGCACAGTTAGAGAGACAAAATAAAGGAACACTGGGATTTCAGATTCTCCGCACCTTCAAATGTCCTGACCCATCTCTCTCTCTACTCCGACCAACTTCTCCTACTCGTCTCACCTTGCTACTTTCTCGCTCTAACATTTTCTCTCTCTAAAACTTTCTCGCTCTAACATTCTCTCTCTCTCAAACTTTCTCGCTCTAATATTCTCTCTCTCTCAAACTTTCTCGCTCTAACATTCTCTTTCTGACTTTCTCGCTCTATAACATTCTCTCTCTAGAACTTTCTCGCTCTAACGTTCTCTCTCTAAGACTTTCTCGCTCTAACGTTTTCTCTCTATAACTTTCTCGCTCTAACGTTTTCTCTCTAAAACTTTCTCGCTCTAACGTTTTCTCTCTCTAAAACTTTCTCGCCCAACGTTCTCTCTCTAAAACTTTCTCGCTCTGACGTTCTCTCTCTCTAAACCTTTCTCGCTCTGACGTTCTCTCTCTCTAGAACTTTCTCCCTCTGACGTTCTCTCTCTCCAAAACTTTCTCGCTCTGACGTTCTCTCTCTCCAAAACTTTCGCTCTGACGTTCTCTCTCTCTAAACTTTCTCGCTCTAACGTTCTCTCTCTAAACTTTCTCGCTCTAACGTTCTCTCTCTAAACTTTCTCGCTCTAACGTTCTCTCTCTAAAACTTTCACGCTCTAACGTTCTCTCTCTAAGACTTTTTCGCTAACATTTTCTCTCTCTAAAACTTTTTGATTTTGAAATGTAGAGAGAGAGGCCTTTGACCATCGAAACCAACGCGTTTTCAAAGGAGGATTGTGTGTTCCTTCGGTCCAAACCCACAAAGCATGGGCGCTATATTCTCGCTCCAAGTCATCCTTTTATGACTGACCTTTATCATAATAATTTTGACCCAAATGCCCTGAAACTTTTCATCGAAACCCAAAGCTACGCTCCCAAATCCCGACACCGCTATGACGTCTGGATAACATCCAACTTTTCAAGTTGGATCCGGCTTTTATACCAGCCCGTATATGTAGAAATGCGGGCTTCTTATCAAATCTATTTTTGAGATGGATTTTGGGACTTAATTTTTAAATATGTATAATCTTTGATATGGAGATAATGAATATAAATAAATAAATAAATTTTGAATACTAAAAATAATAATTCTGGCAAAAAAACATTTGAACCGTTAGTTTCCATTTTTTTTAAATAGAACACTTAATTGTTAAGATGGATGCTTTACACTTTTTGGACCGCCTATGTAAAAATATTGTCCAGCCAGCATCAAACAATTTTACTTTTAAATTTCAGCTGTAATCAACATGGTCGAGAGTTTGGCGTTACACATTTATTGTGCATAGAGTTTGGAATTACATATTTGTTGTGCATAGAGATATTTTATGGTACTTAGGTTTGCGCTTCTTGTTTTGGACCATACAATGAGGCACATGTTTAGATTGTTCAAAAGATTCTTGTTTAGATTGTTCAAAAAGAATCTAAACAATGCGCGCTTCTTCTTTAGATTGTTCGAAGATTCATGAAGGTGATTGGGTATATTTCAAAAACCAAAAAAGATAATATATATGGGTGCAGTTTGTATAAGGTTGCAATAGTAAACACCGTCAAATTTTATCACAGAATTTTGTTGTTAAAACCTCTTAAGGATGGCTTGAGAATCTATTTTCATCTCTAATTATAAAATCTTAAATTTTAAAAATGGTTCAAATCATGAGATCCGGATCTGCACCCAATCAGATAAAAATTTAATTTTATATAAAATAATATATACTAAAAAATATTATATAACATATATGCATATATCTAAAGTATGGAAAAACAATTATACAAGGTTGCAACCTTAAAAAATAGAATTACATATGCACCTCAAAAATCCATCGGAAATGGTTGTTTCAATATTGAAAAAACCTCTAATTGATCATCTCGACAATGAGATGTATTGAACATGAAAGAAAAAAAAGATTTTGAGTCTCAAAAATAGTGCATCTTACAATACATTATCTAGACTATCCATTTTCAAGATTTTCATACGTTTATAGACTTGCTTGATTTTAACCATTTATGGAGTTTAAAATTTTATAATTAGATATGCAAATAGATTTTGAGATAATCCTATGAATTTTTTCACCAAAATTACATGTAATTTTGAGATAATCCTATGAATTTTTTCATCAAAATTACATGTTATGATAATATTTGGAGGTGCGCCTTAATTGGATTGTTTAAGGTTGCAACTTATAGAAATCACACCTATAAAATATATAGGATTGTATATAATGAGACCATTTATTTTTTATACAAGGTAATCACTACTACTTACAATCATCTTATGTGAAATTTGATAGCTTGGATGTGTCACAAAGTTCGAAAAAAATTCTTTTGAAGTTTGAGCTTGTCAATTGAATAATTGCAACCACCTAATTTCACATTCAAAAGTCAAAATTAATATGACCATCTTGTACCAAAAGTAAAAAGTCTCATTTTATATTTTTCAAATATATAATATATTAATACTGCGTCGGATCCGAAGCAGATGCACATGTACACGAATCTGATTCGAATTACCATGTGGATCCGCATCTTACCCAGGTCCATACCAGATCCAGATTGGATCCAAAATTTGGGTTTTGGATCCAAATCGGGTAAATTCTTAGCCCTATTTGAAGTCAATAAAACCAACTCTTAACTTCAATTTAGAGCAACATTTATGGTTACATAGCAAAATTTCATACATATGCATACCATAAAAGATTTTTACAATATCTTACCTTGAACCAAAACTAGATCCACTCAATCAAATAACATAGAGATTGACCAAACAAACAACATGGACTCAATATTAATGTTGACAGTTATGGCATCAAGATATTGAGTTTTCTAGTGGGATTATAAGATATTGAGTTCCTACTTTATGGAATTAAATTAAGATGTGTTTTTAAAAAAACAAAATTGTATCTTTATAAATATCTAGTAAACTAATACCTATCAAGGAGAGGCGGGTTCCGTGGAAGTAGGCATCATTGCCGAACCACATATATGCATTGGCGATCTGTTTTTTTCTCTCTCTTCTCTATATCTTTTATTACAATTTTATATGGTATCAAAACAAGCTGAACTATCACTAACGATCCATTACTTGCTGGAGCTATGTTGTCTCTCTCCAAGAAGCTAATGAGGCATACCTAGTCGAGCTCAGGGTGGCCATTCGCTGCGAATCTCGTCTCTCTCTAACGGAAGAAGACCTTTGAAGATACTTTCGTTTTTCTCCATCTAGATACTTTTTTGCAACGATAGTCCTCATGGTTTGTAACATGAGCATTGACTCTTAGTATTGGCCATTTCAACATCTACAAGATGACCTCGTCCTTCAGATTGTCCCGGTATGTGTCAGTACCGATGGCTGCTAAGTTTGAATCGCCATGGCTCACTACCTTCTTGTTACATTTTTCTTGGTGTTGTATTTTGAGGGTACTTTTTCTTCAATGATTATCCGTTCAATATTTGTAAGATTTGATTTGCGAAAGAAAGCAACCTGATATTGCGCTTAACAAGTAGTTTGATATACATTGGTGATTTCTAGAAAGATAAATAATCATGTTCATTGGTTTTAGGATTATTTTGTCTCAAACAAAATGTCACTAGACTCAAGGAGTGATAATGTCCCGTCAAATAAGTTTCTAGCATGATAATTGCAGGGACTAATAGCAATGGTTATAGTGAATAAAAAGCCAGTCTTGTAATAAATATTAAGATAGAAAATCCGTTAAATATGATGAAATAAAACTCCCTGGCAAAAAAGAGAAAGATCCAAGCCCAATCATGCTTGCAACAATGATCGAATGACCTAGGAGGAGACAGTCAAACTCTGATAAAAAAAATGGACCAAAATGGTAATCTAATCAAAGGTACCTTAATGCTACTCTCAAAAAATAAGGTCAATCCGAGGCTGAATGACTAAGATACCGGTGAAACTCAACCGTCAATTTCACAATATTGATCTAAGGCCAATTTACAAAGCTTCTTCAAGATATACAAAGCTAAATGGCCCAAAAAGTTTATGGAAATAAGGTATCAGTATAAAAAGTCTGTAGACCAAATTTGAGCCCAATTCAACATCGGCTGAAATAGAAATGGCTTCTCGAACTTCTTGAACTACAAGTAGGGTTCATCTAAATCGGTTCAACTATACAAGAGGAACCCAAGAAATAAGTGGCCAATGCACTCCAAATTTTTATGAGATGAATGTGATGATCAAAAAAGACCTTGATAAAATGTTCAGTCAAATTTGATATCCGAAATGTCATTTTTAGCACCATCTTTAGTGCACCGCAGAGGGACCATACGGTATCTGTGGTTCATCATCTTCATTTGAATTACAACTAGCAACTAATTTGTTTCCAAAAAGTCAGGGCCATATTTATCAATTCCTAAAGCTAAACAAGCACAA